CTAAAGTTGTGATTAGTAACTCCCCGAAATGGAGAACTGGCATTTTAGTTTTCATTCCGAAAATATTTTACCAGCCATGAAAATTTGCGGAATATTAGAAAACACACAAAAACGCGGTATCACTTTTTTATTTTTTTGGTCATCAGAATAATAAACTAATTTACAATTGTTTGGTATCACTATAAAATACAAAGAAAATTGTAATCCATGAATAATTATGTATATACTAGATTAATGACCCAACTTTGATGTAGTATATTTGTTCAAAAAAAAAAAAAACTTTGGTGTAGTAGTATAAGGAGGAGCATTTAGGTGTTAACCTTTGCTGAGTAGATAATTAGATTAATCAATGATAATACGCATGCATTTTTCTTGCGATCTTTCCATCTTAATTGGTTTTAGTAATAAATCATTTAACTTTATGTAAAGCAAATAAGCAATCGAGACGAAAGCCAGTAATTACGGAACACGCGGATTAGGTGTAAAAAATGTTTCTCTTTTTAAGATACTCTAATGCAAATTGCTAATCCACGAAACTTTTTCCCCTTCTTTGATTTAAGAAAGACAAACTTTTTCTGTCTTTACACTTTTTTGCGCATTACGCATCTCCTTCTTTAAGTAACCTCAAGCAAATAACACCACACGACAATCTATCTTTAACCACACAAACAAAAACAAACAGAGAAATGTCTGAATTTCTCCCAGAAGAATTAGCCGTTGAGATACTCGCGAGGCTATCGATGAAGGATCTGGCTCGATTCAAATGCGTCTGCAAGACATGGAGAGATCTTATCAACCACCGTGGCTTCACCGAAAGGTACAGAGACATTTCTCCGGCGAAGTTCTTGTCATTTTACGACAAGGGCTTCTACTTGCTTGACTTGGAAGGCAAGAATAAGGTTATTACAAAGCTTGATTTCCCTTTGGAACATCAGTCGATGATCGATGAATCCGTATGTGTGCTTCATTGTAATGGGACGTTATGTGTCACATTAAAGAACCACACTTTAATGGTTTGGAATCCATTTTCGAAGCTATTCAAGATCATACCAAATCCCGGTATATGTCGAGATTCAAACATCATTGGCTTCGGTTATGATCCGGTTTCTGATGATTACAAAGTCGTAACGTTTATCGACCGGATTGATTCGAGCATGGCACATGTTTTCGAATTCAGAACCAGTTCTTGGAGAGGGAGCGTACGGATTCCTTGTCCTGATTGGCATTACAGAGAGAGAAGAGGTACCTTCTTTGATCAATGCCTCTATTGGATTGCGTACCGGTCTAATGTCGACCGGTTTATCCTATGCTTTGATCTCTCAACCGACGAGTACCGGAAATTTCCTCTCCCGGTTTACAACCAAGGCGTGACGTGTTCTTGGTTAGGCGTTACAAGCCAAAAAATTTGCATTACAGAGTATGAACCGTGCGAGAAGGAGATTTGGATTTCGGTTATGGAGAAAACCGGATCATGGAACAAGATTATAAGCCTTTCGATGTCGAATTTGATCACTGTACAAGATCGGATATGCGATGATCAAGTCGAGTTCGTGGCCTTTACGAAAAAGAACGATCTGGTCGTAACACTCACTAGGTGTTACGATGATATCGATACGGAATATGAAAAAGGTACGAAGAAGAAGGTGTTCTTGTACAAAACCGGAGCCGAGACATTTGAACAAGTCCGGTTATGTAACTCTCTAGCCGGGTTTCGGTTTCTCAGTGAATATGTAGAGACTCTTGTGATTAGTAATTGCATATTTATATGAACAAAAGAAAAAAAAAACATTCGTGTGTTTTTGTTTTTGTTAAAAGATTTCCTATCGAAATGCATGAGAAAAGAAAAAGTTCAAAGCCCAAGCCCAATGTTTTGTGATGAAAACACAAGTTATTAAACAAAAAAACTAAACCAAGTGGAATAGCTTATGAACAAAAAAAACTATGCTTAGGGATGCCAATTGACTAGCTGGTTATGGCTAATTATATTATAGATTTGACCATGGTAACTGGAAATTATTTATACTTCTACGTTATAAATTTAGTTGCTCGAATGTAATTTGATACCTATTAAATGTTTATTTTTTTTTTAAAGAATTAGAAAGTTAGATTCAAAACCGGGTCGGTTTATACTTATGGTTGGTTCAAAACATGTCACTAATTTGGGTGAAAAATCAATTTGTTTTTTCCTTTAAAAGGAGAAAGAAACTTTTTCGATTACAAAAATTGAATTAACTCCAAGAAAGAGATTAGAAGAAATATTAAATGGAGAGAGGATCGAACAACGGACAATCACTCGAAAAAGCTAGAATTGGGAGACTTAATACCATCCAAACTTATTCATTTTTTGTGAAATAATAATGTAAAAATAGATAAAATATCGTATATATCAGTCGTCCTCCTCGCGCCATGTCAGAGACTTTGGGAATCCTGGAGGTCAAAATTGTTCGTCGGAGCTCTGGCGAAAGGAAAAGTTGGTAGAGGTTGCTTTTGTGGTGAAGCAGAAGTGGTTGACTACCAAATTCAAACTTTTAAGGAAAGCCTCCACTTTCGTGCATGAGAGAGTTTTTCATGTCTTTATGTCTCAAAGTCTAACCTAAATTCACAGATAATCAAGCCTGCCCCAACTGTTTTTTTGTTTACCAAGTGGAATAGTTTATGAACCAAAATTTAAACCAGGTAGTAAACTATTAGGAGAAAACTTTGCTTAGGGATTCCAATTGACTAGCTGGTTATGGTTAATTCCAGAGCTGATATGTCAGCGAATTGTGCAAGTATTTTTAATTCTGATATTTTCTATATAAACTCATTACTATTAGATTAGAGAACCAGTTGGTTGTGAAATACTAGTTTATATGTTGAAACAAAAAAAAATTGACCGCGGTAACTGAAATCGGTCAATTTTGATTTATACTTCTACGTTATAGATTTAGTGGAATCATTCCAGTTACCATGGTCAATCATTAGTGGAATGTGATTTATACTTCTACGTTATAAATTTAGTTGCTCTAATGTGATTTACAACCTATTAAATGTTTCTTTTTAAAAAAAAAATTATATAGCTAAATACCGGTTTAAAATTGGTTCGGTTTGTACTAATGGTTGGTTCAAAACATGTCACTAATTTGGGTGAAAAATCAATTTGTTTTTCCTTTAAAAGGAGAAAGAAAGAAACTCTTTCGATTACAAAAATTAAATAACTCCAAGAAAAAGAGTATTAAATGGAGAGAGGGTCGAACAACGGGCAATCACTCTGGCACTCTTCTCAGTCACCCAAAACTCCGACGACGATGCTGGATCGCGCGCTTTCCTCTCGCCGTCCTCACTCCGACGCCGATCCTTCTGCTTCCGGTGAATCCGGCGCCGACGAATCTAAGACCAAACGCCCTCACATCTACCTCCTCGCCTCCAATTTCCTTTCTCGGATCGGACATCAGTGGTGGCCTTGCCTTA